CTGCCAGAAGCTTAGTCAGAAATGTTGTGATGAGCATCACAAGAATAATTCACATCTACGAGGCTGAGATAAACCTCACTGAGTGTTTTCCTAATGAACTGATATACAGTTTTTTTAGAACATAATGACAAATGTATTGAAAAATATTGAAAAAGAGTTGATGTCTCCTGATTAAATTGGGGGAAAAAAAATCTAAGATAACTGTAGATTAATTTTCAGCTCCTTAATTAGTCGATTCAGCTCTAATTTCAACTTTCACAAAACTGTCTGACACTAGCCCACCTGCACCTACAGGTCTGACACCAGTGTTTGTATTTCTGTCTCAGAGCAGCATGCATCTGTTCAGGTTCTGTCAGCACACGCTGTGTTTGCACTGTCATCAACACATCATTTTCTGCCTCCTCAGCCTATAAAACAGTGTCTGGAGTCAACGGCCCGCTGGTGATTTTGGACGAGGTGAAGGTAAGGACGACCAAACATCTCACCTTTTCTAGACTGACATGTGCAGAGTTTAAGTTTGGTTTGCCCTCACTTTTCCTGAGAGAAAGAATGACAATGTATTTTTGTATGAATTTTAATGACCCTAAAAAAATGACGGAGCATGTGGAACAACTCATATCTCTCAGTTGTTCCTGTACCTGACGCTTGTGTTTCTTCTTTGTTCTGGACAGTTTCCGAGGTACGCAGAGATCGTCCATCTCACCCTGCCTGACGGCACCAAGAGGAGTGGGCAGGTGCTGGAGGTCACCGGCTCCAAAGCTGTGGTTCAGGTACTCTAATCTCAGCAGAGTGTCATGAAACTTTATTTACTCGTTCATGTTCCTCAGAGGATGAGTCCCTCTGACTCTGCTGGTCCTCTTACTTTTCCTCTCGTGCCACCATGAGGTTCACGTTTGAGCTTCTGAGTGAAATATCTTGACAACTATCCGATGGATTGCTATGAAATCTGCTTCAAACATTCATGATTCCTAGAGGATCAATTCTAATGACTTTCCCAGACTTTTTCAGTAGCGCCACCAGCAAGTCAAAGTTTTCACTTATCCTGTTAGCCTACAACAGGCCTGGATTTAAAATAATAAAGCTGTAGACAGTTTAGCAGTTTTCCTACTGCATTTTGTTGAGTGTTTACAGAGGATGTCTGTGTAAATCTGTGTCCAACAACTAACAGCAGCTCTGTAGAGGTGTCGTAAATCTGATTAATGCCTCTGTAATATGTGCGACCAGAGCCACCCTCACTGAGCTTCACAACGGCTCTTCAGAAAGCTCTGGCCGACGTCACGGGCGCTACGTCCGTGTTCTATACAGTCTGTGGTTTCAATACATCTCTAATTCATTAATGACAGCGAGCATCAGTCTGCAGACTCTCAGCATCAGGTGTGATGTGATCAGAGGGTTGATGTAACAATAAAATGTAGCATTGGACGTCAGTCTTTAGTACGAGGGTCTGAAAATAATTACAAAAAGGTCTTCGTCCTCTTTGGTGCCCTTTTCTATCCGTATTTAATGAGCGATGCTGTCATATTTTAGCCATGCTAGCAGCATTGCGGTGGGAATGTAAATGTCAGTCTGTCCACCACTACAAACATCTCAGCAGCTTTGGATGGATTGTGATGAAATGTGGTTCAGACCTTCATGTTCCCCTCAGGATGACCTCTAATAACTTTGGTGATCCTCTGACTTTTCATCAGTCTGTTAATGTGTCCAACACTCATTGGTTTGTGACCTGCAGAACATTCCCATCAGCCTCAGCTGTAGCTGTGGTGATCATGGTAAACACACCTGCTAAACCTCATCATCATTAGCATTATCACTGTGAGTGTGTTAGCATGCTGATGTTAGCCTTTAGCTCAAAGCAGTGCTGTAAGTCTGTGTCTCCCGTGAATCCCCTTTCCATTCCACATTTTACTTTTCTCAGCTATTGCACAGACTTGCATTTAAATGAATATTGAACAGATGAAATGTTAACTTAACTACAGAATATACCATAGTAGGATCCTTCTAACCTGCTGCTCCAGTGCTGTGATGATTATTGTGCAGTATAGATGAACACTTCTGTCCTTCCTCCACATCTTTGCTCCTCCACGCTGCCCTCTGCAGGTGTTTGAGGGGACGTCAGGTATCGATGCCAAGAAGACCAGCTGTGAGTTTACAGGAGACATCTTGCGGACACCTGTCTCTGAGGACATGTTGGGTACGACACACAACACAATAAATATGTCACATTCATTTAGGTGCAAACTGAGGCGACTTCAGCGCTGCAGCTTTATATAGACTCATGTTTACAAGTGAAAGTTAGTTTGCTTTGTAGAGTAATGAGTAGAGTAGGCCTGAATGTATGTTTATCTGGAGTGTTGGTGTGTGTGTCTGCAGGTCGTGTGTTTAATGGATCTGGTAAACCTATCGACAGAGGACCAGCAGTCATGGCTGAAGACTTCTTGGACATCATGGGTACATTGACTGCTTCTCACATGGGCATGCTCTGACTTTAATGAAGCAGCAGGAAATATTCGGTTTGCATGAGCAGCAACTAGTAAGGTGAGGCCGATATTTGCTACATGGAAGTAGGGCTGTAACCAGTGGTGGAAAGTAACTAAGTACATTTACTCAAGTACTGCACGTGAAGTGCAACTTTGAGGTACTTGTAAGCTCGACACACAGCGAGTACAAACAGCACAGCCTGCTAACATACAATCAAGGATCTTTAATTCATTATTTATTATCTTCTTCGGGGCTCATGAAAGCATGCAAGTACAAACACACAGTCTGCGTCGTGAACACATGCAGGGATTTTGGTATCTGTATGATTCTAAGAATTGTTCTCATATTGTAGGTCAGCCTATTAACCCTCAGTGTCGTATCTACCCTGAGGAGATGATCCAGACCGGCATATCTGCTATCGATGGCATGAACAGCATCGCCAGAGGGCAGAAAATACCCATCTTCTCTGCAGCAGGGCTACCACACAATGAGGTACACACACACACACAAAACCACACACACACACATATAATCTACATAATACATGGAAACACACAGGTACACATGCAGACACACACAAGCACAACACTGTTTTAAAGTGGAAGGAAGTCTGTTAACTTCCTGACCGATATGTTCGATGTGTGCTGGATCCTCAGGACTGAATCTTAATTACGTTTGATGAATTACTTCCCTTTAATTTGGTAGATTAAATTAAATTAAAGTAGAGGTAGAGTTTTTTCTTTAAGTGTGGCTAAAGAAGATTAAATTACTTTGTTCAGATGTTGTTAAAGAGTGCAAGACTTTTATTATGTCCTCCGTGTTTCTCTTCCTACTCTCTTCCCTCGGTTCATCAGATCGCAGCTCAGATCTGTCGGCAGGCCGGTTTGGTAAAGAAGTCCAAGGACGTGATGGACTACAGTGAGGACAACTTCGCCATCGTATTTGCAGCCATGGGGGTGAGAACTTTAGATTCTTCTTCGCTTGCAAAAATTCAAAGACACTGTGAAGGGGAGTGAGCTCTAAGAGCAACTTAACACCCAGTTTTAGCTTGAGCACGCCTCCGTCACAGGATCAAAAAATGCATTCAAACCCAGACCCGCACTCAGTCAGACTGTTGCTCCAGGGTCCCCTTTGTTGGTCAAAGTTCACTAAAGTCGAATTTGACAAGAAACTGCAGATTAAAGGCCAAGTTATACTTCTGTCCTCAATTCTTAGGAGCGGCAGTAGCTCAGTCCATAAGGACTTGGCTTAAGATGTGCCAGTTCACCTCCTGGGCCCTGCCGAAGGAGGCCTTGAGTAAGCCCCTGAACCTCCAACCACTCGGGGCGCTGTACTTTGTGGCAGCTCCATCGCTCTGACATCTCTCCATGTGTTGTGGCATGTGTATAAGGTCCCGTTTGTCTATTTGTGTATTTTGGACTTGTGTGTATAAAAACAATATTAACTAACAACACAGTAAAAAAACATTGAATTTTCCCTCGCGTGATTAAAAAGTACGTCGTCTTCTACGCCGTTACGCTACATTTTTGGGAGGTCCGCGTCTATGGCGTAGGGTATGTGGCTACGCGTAGAATTCGCATACAAGTATAAATTGGCCTTAACTTCCACTAACTACACCAATTCCATTGGAATAAACGGCTGTAAATGTTTAAAGTACTGGTGGCCTTTAAGTTCATCAGTGGACACAAACACGACTCCAATGTGGCCAATGTCATGGACAGTGAGTGGAAAAACTATTTGATCCCCTGCTGATTTTGTATGTTTGCTCAATGATCAGTCTATAATTTTAATGGCAGGTTTATTTGAACAGTGAGAGACAGAATAACAACAAAAAAAGTCTGTAAAAAATGTTATAAATTGATTAGTAGAAGTATTTGACCTCTCTGCAAAACATGACTTAGTACTTGGTGGCAAAACCACTGTTGGCAATCACAGAGGTCAGATGTTTCTTGTAGTTGGCCACCAGGTTTGAACACATCTCAGGAGGGATGTTGTCCCACTCCTCTTTGCAGATCTTCTGCAAATCATTCAGGTTTCGAGGCTGACGTTTGTCAACTCGAACCTTCAGCTCCCTCTGCAGATTTTCTATATGATTAAGGTCTGGAGACTGGCTTGGCCACTCCGGGACCTTAATGTGCTTCTTTTTGAGCCACTCCTTTGTTGCCTTGGCCGTGTTTTGGGTCATTGTCCTGCTGGATTACCCATCTACGACCCATTTTCAATGCCCTGGCTGAGGGAAGGAGGTTCTCCCCCAAGATTTGAGGGTACATGGCTCCGTCCATTGTCGCTTTGATGCGGTGAAGTTGTCCTGTCCCCTTAGCAGAAAAACACCCCCAAAGCATCATGTTTCCACCTCCATGTTTGACGGTGGAGATGGTGTTCTTGGGGTCACAGGCAGCGTTCCTCCTTCTCCAAACACGGCGAGTTGAGTTGATGCCAAAGAGCTCGATTTTGGTCTCATCTGACCGCAACACTTTCACCCAGTTCTCCTCTGAATCATTCAGATGTTCATCGGCAAACGTCAGACGGGCCTGTACATGTGCTTTCTTGAGCAGGGGGACCTTGGGGCGCTGCAGGATGTCAGTCCTTCACGGCGTAGTGTGTTACCGATTGTTTTCTTCGTGACTATGGTCCCAGCTGCCTTGAGATCATTGACAAGATCCTCCCGTGTAGTTCTGGACTGATTCCTCACTGTTCTCATGATCATTGCAACTCCACGAGGTGAGATCTTGCATGGAGCCCCAGACCGAGGGAGATTGACAGTTCTTTTGTTTCTTCCAACTGTTCATCACCTTCTCACCAAGCTGCTTGGCGATGGTCTTGTAGCCCATTCCAGCCTTGCGTAGGTCGACAATCTTGTCCCTGCCATCCTTGGACAGCTCTTGGGTCTTGGCCATGGTGGAGAGTTTGGAATCTGATTGATTGCTTCTGTGGACAGGTGTCTTTTATAGAGGTAACAAACATGATTAGGAGCACTCCCTTTAAGAGTGAGCTCCTAATCTCAGCTCGTTACCTGTATAAAAGACACCTGGGAGGCAGAAAACTTTCTGACTGAGAGGGGGTCAAATACTTATTTCACTCATTAAAATGCAAATCAATTTATAACATTTTTGACATGCGTTTTTCAGAATTGTTTTGTTGTTATTCTGTCTCTCACTGTTCAAATAAACCTGCCATTAAAATTATAGACTGATCATTTCTTTGTCAGTGAGCAAACGTACAAAATCAGCAGGGGATCAAATATTTCCCTCACTGTAGCTCAGTGTCTGGAAGTTGTAGGCACACTACAATGCCAGTCAGCTTTATGAAGGTGATCACAAGGGTTTACAGCTTGTTATTCTGCCCCCAAGTGGTGAAAACATTAATTAATGTAGCTTTAAAGATCAGCTTCCAGCAGCCTGGTTCATCAGATTGGTTCACAGAACTTGAGAAGTCGATTGGCATCATATTGGTGGATAATCTAAATAATATTGGGGTGTGTGACATTTATGAATGAAGACGCTTGGCAGGAATGATGGAGGTTCATGGAGGTTGACAGTGGGGAGAATATGAGTAAAAACATAAGCACCAAAGTTTCTCTTCTCTCTGCCACCAGGTGAACATGGAGACTGCCAGGTTCTTTAAGTCCGACTTTGAGGAGAACGGTTCCATGGATAACGTCTGTTTGTTCCTCAACCTGGCAAACGACCCCACGTATGATCTTTTACCCTTTTACTAAACTTTTTTTTTTTTTTTTTTTTACATGACTTGGAATAATTTGACTGATTGATTAAAACAAAACTAGAAACAGACGCTCAACCTGAATGTTATAATATAGTTGTAACCACACGCCTCCGTTTTCTGTAGCAAAATTAAATTCCCTCATTTTGTGGTTGTTGTTTTTTGTAATTATCTTTATCATTAGCTTAAAGAGATATGTTGATCTACTGAAAAGCACATTTTTGCGAGGTTTCGGTTCGATTCGGCACACACACCTTTATGCCTTGTAAAATCCAAGTGCTTTTACATATCAGCTTCAGATTTGGTACATTTGCTGACAAGAGGTGTGGGAACTTGAAAATGTTGTGAGTGTCTGAGGTTCACTGTAAGAAACAACAATTGCAAGTTCATTTTTCATCATTAAATTAAGCAATTTCAGTTGTAACATTTAATCGCCATTAACCAGGTTTCTGTTTCAGGTTTCATTAGGCTATATTAAAACTGGTGGAAATAGGCCAAAATTACTACTAATTACAAAAAGAGGTTAAATTGCCTTTTTCGTTGTAGCATTGAGCGAATCATCACTCCTCGTTTAGCGCTGACATCAGCAGAGTATCTGGCCTATCAGTGTGAGAAGCACGTCCTCGTCATCCTCACCGACATGAGCTCCTATGCGGAGGCTCTCCGAGAGGTCAGCCACAATTTCAGAGCATTTATTCAGAAATGACCTCAGGAAATTGGAAATAAATTGTGAATTTACTCACCCTCATCACCCTCAAACTGCGTCTCAGGTGTCTGCAGCCAGGGAGGAGGTGCCGGGCCGGCGAGGATTTCCTGGTTACATGTACACAGATTTGGCCACCATCTATGAGAGAGCTGGCAGAGTAGAAGGACGCAACGGCTCCATCACCCAAATCCCCATCCTCACCATGCCCAATGACGGTACACACATGTTCAGCCACAAGCTCCTAATGCTAATGACTACAGCGTTCTTACAGTGTGTTCTCGTGTCTCTCAGACATCACCCATCCTATTCCCGACCTGACTGGTTACATCACTGAGGGACAAATCTATGTGGACAGACAACTTCACAACAGACAGGTAAAGAAGAGCAGTGTCGCAGATTCATTTCTATCCTTTAGAACGAGTTCCCCTTTGACATCAGCAGAAACTCTACACATTACCGTGGCCCATTAATAAAACAAACAAAACAAAAAACTGGATTGTATCCACATGGTTGCATTTATTGGAGGCTTTGGCTAAAAGTGTCTAAATAGATGTAATGTAATATTCAAAAGTTATCTCATGTCACTTTTCATATAGAGCAGGTCTAGACCGTACTCTTTGTAGTATTATTTACAGAGACAACTCCCACCATGTGGAAAGGTCAGGTCAGAACTTCCAGTCAGACTCAGTGCATGAATCAAATGATTTTAGATTCAGCAAAATCAACTTATTGGTACTGGTTTATCTTGACTTGGACTTGGGATTTGAATTGTAAGATCTTGGTCTAGACTTGGGACTTCACATGTGACATGTTGGTCTTGACTTGGGACCTGATTTGAGACTAGGTGGTCTTGACTTGGGACCTGATTTGAGACTAGGTGGTCTTGACTTGAGACCTGATTTGAGACTAGGTGGTCTTGACTTGGGACCTGATTTGAGACTAGGTGGTCTTGACTTGGGACCTGATTTGAGACTAGGTGGTCTTGACTTGGGACCTGATTTGTGAAAAGGTGGTCTTGACTTGGGACCTGATTTGAGACTAGGTGGTCTTGACTTGAGACCTGATTTGAGACTAGGTGGTCTTGACTTGGGACCTGATTTGTGAAAAGGTGGTCTTGACTTGGGACCTGATTTGTGACTAGGTGGTCTTGACTTGGGACCTGATTTGAGACTAGGTGGTCTTGACTTGGGACCTGATTTGAGACTAGGTGGTCTTGACTTGAGACCTGATTTGAGACTAGGTGGTCTTGACTTGGGACCTGATTTGTGAAAAGGTGGTCTTGACTTGGGACCTGATTTGAGACTAGGTGGTCTTGACTTGGGACCTGATTTGAGACTAGGTGGTCTTGACTTGGGACCTGATTTGAGACTAGGTGGTCTTGACTTGGGACCTGATTTGAGACTAGGTGGTCTTGACTTGGGACCTGATTTGAGACTAGGTGGTCTTGACTTGAGACCTGATTTGAGACTAGGTGGTCTTGACTTGGGACCTGATTTGTGAAAAGGTGGTCTTGACTTGGGACCTGATTTGAGACTAGGTGGTCTTGACTTGGGACCTGATTTGAGACTAGGTGGTCTTGACTTGAGACCTGATTTGAGACTAGGTGGTCTTGACATGGGACCTGATTTGTGAAAAGGTGGTCTTGACTTGGGACCTGATTTGTGAAAAGGTGGTCTTGACATGGGACCTGATTTGAGACTAGGTGGTCTTGACTTGGGACCTGATTTGAGACTAGGTGGTCTTGACTTGAGACCTGATTTGAGACTAGGTGGTCTTGACTTGGGACCTGATTTGAGACTAGGTGGTCTTGACTTGGGACCTGATTTGAGACTAGGTGGTCTTGACTTGAGACCTGATTTGAGACTAGGTGGTCTTGACATGGGACCTGATTTGTGAAAAGGTGGTCTTGACTTGGGACCTGATTTGTGAAAAGGTGGTCTTGACATGGGACCTGATTTGAGACTAGGTGGTCTTGACTTGGGACCTGATTTGAGACTAGGTGGTCTTGACTTGGGACCTGATTTGAGACTAGGTGGTCTTGACTTGGGACCTGATTTGAGACTAGGTGGTCTTGACTTGGGACCTGATTTGAGACTAGGTGGTCTTGACTTGAGACCTGATTTGAGACTAGGTGGTCTTGACATGGGACCTGATTTGTGAAAAGGTGGTCTTGACTTGGGACCTGATTTGTGAAAAGGTGGTCTTGACATGGGACCTGATTTGAGACTAGGTGGTCTTGACTTGGGACCTGATTTGAGACTAGGTGGTCTTGACTTGAGACCTGATTTGAGACTAGGTGGTCTTGACTTGGGACCTGATTTGAGACTAGGTGGTCTTGACTTGGGACCTGATTTGAGACTAGGTGGTCTTGACTTGAGACCTGATTTGAGACTAGGTGGTCTTGACATGGGACCTGATTTGTGAAAAGGTGGTCTTGACTTGGGACCTGATTTGTGAAAAGGTGGTCTTGACATGGGACCTGATTTGAGACTAGGTGGTCTTGACTTGGGACCTGATTTGAGACTAGGTGGTCTTGACTTGAGACCTGATTTGAGACTAGGTGGTCTTGACTTGGGACCTGATTTGCGACTAGGTGGTCTTGACTTGGGACCTGATTTGAGACTTGCTGGTCTTGACATGGGAATTGATTTTGGTGTTTTTAGTCTTGACTTGGGACATGTTGGTCTTGACTTGGACTTGGGATTTAAATTTGGAAGATATTTGTCTAGTCTTGGGACTTTACATGTGATATGTTGGTCTTGATTTGCGACCTCAATTGTGACTTGCTGGTCTTGACTTGGGAATTGATTTTGGTGTTTTTAGACTTGACTTGGGACATGTTGGTCTTGACTTGGACTTGGGATTTAAATTTGGAAGATACACACGTGACATGTCGGTCTTGACTTGAGACCTGATTTGAGATTAGGTGGTCTTGACATGGGACCTGATTTGTGAAAAGGTGGTCTTGACTTGGGACCTGATTTGTGAAAAGGTGGTCTTGACATGGGACCTGATTTGAGACTAGGTGGTCTTGACTTGGGACCTGATTTGAGACTAGGTGGTCTTGACTTGAGACCTGATTTGAGACTAGGTGGTCTTGACTTGGGACCTGATTTGCGACTAGGTGGTCTTGACTTGGGACCTGATTTGCGACTAGGTGGTCTTGACTTGGGACCTGATTTGAGACTTGCTGGTCTTGACATGGGAATTGATTTTGGTGTTTTTAGTCTTGACTTGGGACATGTTGGTCTTGACTTGGACTTGGGATTTAAATTTGGAAGATATTTGTCTAGTCTTGGGACTTTACATGTGATATGTTGGTCTTGATTTGCGACCTCAATTGTGACTTGCTGGTCTTGACTTGGGAATTGATTTTGGTGTTTTTAGACTTGACTTGGGACATGTTGGTCTTGACTTGGACTTGGGATTTAAATTTGGAAGATACACACGTGACATGTCGGTCTTGACTTGGGACCTGACTTGTGACTTGCTGGTCTTGACTCTGGAATTGATTTTGGACTTATTAGTCTTGACTCAGGACATGTTGGTCTTGGGATTTGAATTGGAAGATATTGGTCTAGACTTGGGACTTGTTGTAAATTTGGCTGCGCCCTGGTGGTTTACCAGTGTGACAGCCACATTCTCTCTGAGCCGTCCATGTAAATTAGATTTACTGTCTGAGATTTGTTTTATATTCAACCATTTTGTTTCTGTGCATATGAAGCTGGTTCAGCAATCACTTCCAGAAAGTGTGGAGGTGTGATGGATTGTGACGCCTCTTTGTAATGTTTACGAATTAATCGACACATGACTGAACTTCATCTTACAAATGTCATGTCACCAAAAACAACCAGAGCATTTGAGCCACATTTTTTAATACATAGGCCTACACGACATGCTGCTAATCTGCCTTGTTGCTCTAACGAACAAACAACAGCCCTGACTGTCAGAGGCTCCTCGTGCAGATCTCTAACTTCCTCTGGAGCCTGGGCGGGCTGTGTGTGGGCAGCTGGTGACTCGTAGGATATAAAAGAGTCGATGAAGTTTCTTTCTTCTACCATCTCAGTGACCTTGTCTTTCCTTCCGCTGGTTTAGATTTATCCTCCCATCAACGTGCTGCCGTCTCTCTCTCGTCTGATGAAGTCTGCCATCGGGGAGGGAATGACCCGCAGAGACCACTCTGATGTTTCCAACCAGCTCGTAAGTTCATACACACACTTCCTGTTTCGATCTGAACACGCTTACCTTTGCCATTGCACTCTGAAAGTGTGTGTGTGTGCGCGTGTGTGTGTGTAGTATGCGTGTTATGCCATAGGGAAGGACGTCCAGGCCATGAAGGCAGTGGTGGGGGAGGAGGCTCTGACAGCTGATGACCTGCTCTATCTGGAGTTCCTGACCAAGTTTGAGAAAAACTTCATCTCCCAAGGTGCAGTGGGGCATAGAACTGAAACGATCAGTCAAGCAATTAATTAGACTATTTAATTTTAGATTTGAAAGTAATTGATTTAGCCCACTACATTTTATTTGGTATTGTTTGTAAATGTACGAGAGTAGCTTTACAACCTGTACAGCCTCTCCTGAAGAACGAAGATCCAGATCTAGGGACAACAGATGAAAAGGTGTATGTAGAGAACACACACTCTACCAGTTAAAGCAGATTCGAGGATCTATTGACAAGAGCAACGTGTTTCACTCAGCACTCATCTAAAGACTCATGCTTTCACTCGCACTTTTGATTACCATTTAAAAATCAATAAGCTGCAGTAATCGCAATACATTTCTTTTCAGTCCCCCTAATAATAAATAATAATAATAATATTAATAAACTGTATTTATATAGCACTTTTAAATCAAAGGTACAAAGTGCTTTACGTGGTTGAACGAGGATTAAAACACTTCAGGAAGCAATGAGGCCAATAAAATCAGACAATTAAAATAACACAAACAAAAAGATAAACTAAAATAAGATGAGATAAAAAATTTGGGTACTTTGGGAGGGTGGGTCTTCCGATCTGGTCACTGATAAGATAAAAACAACAACAATAATAATAAAACTGATAACACATATTGGGAATAAGTTTTGAGAAGTAATTTAATGCCGGGTGCAAACTAGAGGATTTTCAGATCTTAACAGATTTTATAAACAGACAGAATTAATGATGTTTAAAATTTTAATCTTAAGAACGCACACACCAGACGGTTCAGTCCAGATCCAGGATGACAAACTTGGCGTTTATACTAAAGGCTTTCAGAGATGCGGTTCTGGGGATACATGATGAAACGAAGACATAGACACAGACAGAAACAAACATGGAGGCAGGCTGTCGTCGTCAGCTGGTTGACCTTGCGTGTGTGCTGTGTTTTGCACAGAAAATAAAAAGAAGAGAATCAAACTGTGGATGAACTTCACTCTGAGAAGAGGGAATCAGCAGGTCTATACGTTTTATAGAGCAGAAACACAACACGCTGGGGACGGTTCCCGCTCAGCTTCCTCTCATTGGCTGTTGCGGGTTTCTGATCAGAGGCTCCCCGATTTTGGCGACCTCAAGATTATGTCTGTAATCCCCTCACACTACAGGATCATATGGGTTCAGAAGTCTAAATGTCTACATGTGATTCTGTGTCCAGGTGCCTACGAGAACAGGAGTGTGTTTGAGACTCTGGACATCGGATGGCAGCTCATGAGGATCTTCCCCAAGGAGATGCTGAAGAGGATCCCTCAGAGCACCTTAGCGGAGTTTTACCCCCGAGAAGCCAAACATTAACCAGACACACTCATCGGTATCTCCAGCAGTCCTGCCGCTTCCTTCCTGTTTCAGTGACGTGTCACTGCATACATACAGTATCGTGATGATGTGCTGCTGTAACTGTCTCGACGCTTGTGACGTTCACAACAAACCATTCCTGCTTAAACAACCAGAAACACACAGAGGGAAGTACTCCAACATACACAGAGGCTTGTATGAGTTTACAGTGTGAATGTGTAGAGGAAGAGAACAGTGTCTTCATGTCGTTAACGTGTGTGATAATGATGAGGATATTTTTATTAAGGTGTCATGACTGCAAGTAGCCAAGTCCAAAAATAAAGAAAATAATAATCATAACTTCTTCAGGTTTTCAGACCGTCGTGTAGACACAAGGATAAATTAAAAATCAGATGCTCCAATAATCCATCATGCCCTCTTAAAGTTTTGTTAAAGGAACAGGTCGCATTTTAGGTAATTCGCCATCTTGGTTTTTTTAGGAACCAGACACCTGACATAACCATATTTGGATGAGAGGGTGGCACTAGATAGCTTGGTTAGCAAGGTGCATCTGTAATTCATGTTAACTGTGATATTAGCTGTGATGCTAATTTTGGCTAGCTAAAAAAAACAGGCTTAAAACCAAACATACTTACCTGAAACCAGCGCAGGTTAAATGTACATAGAGCAGCAGATACAAGTTGTGCTTTCTGGTCTATGTTCCTCTAAATGGGACCATAATTTACTAAATGAACATCATGCTGTGTTGAAGAAGACTTGAAACTAGCGACTGAGACCATAAACTCATCAGGAAAGTGTTTACTGAGGGAATAAATCAGCTGAGAAGTAGAAACATTTTCTCATAGACTTCTACGCAATCTGACATCTTTTGCAGCCGGTGGAGTCGCCCCCTGCAGGCTGTTAGAGAGAACGCAGGTTTAAGGCACTTGAGCATTGGCTTCACTTTTCAGACCCGAAGGTTCCTGCTTAATAATAATCAGTGAGCTTTAGGTGTTGGTAGATGGATTTTGTTACCTTTGGACAGGACCAGGCTAGCTGTTTCCCCCTGTTTCCAGTCTTTATGCTAAGCTAACTGGATGCTACATACAGACATGAAAGTGGCATCAATCTGAAAATCTAACTCTCGGCAAGAAAGAAAAATCTTTTCTCCAAAATGTCAAACTGTTTCTTTAAAGGTACCATGTTGAGTTTTTTTACGACTAGTTGCACTATGGAGGAATGTTTTGACCAGCTTTTCATCAGCTTAGAGAAAGTTTTATAAGGACTTGCATTCAACATGTTGGTTTGAGGATTCACGCAATGCAATTTGTTTTGTTTGTTTACAAGAAAACTCCACAGTGCGCCTTTAACGTTAGTGTTTCGCTGTCCTCTCGGCTTGAAACCACTGCTGGCTGTGGTTGGGTGGGGTCAGAAGTGTTGCACCTGTAACCACACCCAACAGTGGAGTACACGTGTACGTCACTGCGGCAAGGTGAGCAGTTAAACCCCTGGAGGTCAACAGAAACACGATTTTCAAGGGATGTGAAGTGACTCTTTAAAATGCATATATGTCCTTAATTTTGATATTTTCAGAAACTTTTCTTCAAATTTTTCTAAAAGCTCACCTTTACCAGAAAGTATTCCTGTAGATATAGAGCACATCCGCCTCGTCAAGAACAGAGTAAAGCGGTTCAGCCCGTAGAGAACTGTGCGATGTACTCCAAAATAAACACCTCGCTATCTATTCTTGAAAGGCTAAAGTAAAGCGTTACCTGTTGAGTCAACATTTATCTGTGTAAACACGCTGCAGCTGCTGCATGAATAACAGCCTCATCTCCAAAGTTTGATGACAGGCGTGTGCGCTCATTAAACTGACGTCTTTCGGCTGTCGCGACCTTGCACACGATCGTGACACATGTACTGCCATGAGGTACGAGGCCTCGTTTGGAAGAATGCGATTTCTTTTATTTGACACTTTCCAAGAAAGCAATGTCTGTAGTGTGAGTGCCAGAAGATGAAGTTACATTAGAGCATTTTAACGTTGATGATATGTGAGGAAGATGTGTGGTTTAAAAGAAATGTCCCATCATTCCTTCCCTGCTTGATGTTGTTCTTAGATTAGCTTTGTTTTATGCTGTGTTGTTCAGTGATGATAGTGTTTCATGTTTTTATGTGTATTATCTTTAGGTTCTCTACTTGAACACATCAGCCTTGAAATATGTATACATTATGTATTTCTGTATGAACAGTGTGTGCATATTGGCTGGATGTATTAATCAGCTTGCATGCATTGACGTTGAATGTTTCCTGTTGGTGCCTCAAGTGTCATGAAATAAAAGCTGCTGTCTCTGATTATTATTATTATTATTGATGATCAGATGTGGTGTTTAATATTGTAATATGTTTTGTGTGAATCTGCTTCAAAATGCAGGATTGACAGGTTATTTATTTGACAAGATGCATTTAATATTCAATTATGAAATGCGTCTTGTCCATTATAAACAGGATCCATGTAACATCACAACCCTGTTTTTATAGAGCTTTCATTTGTGAGCCGCAATAATCAGTATTTTTAACCATGCAAGCAGCACAAATCTTTAATTGTCAATGTCGGTATGTTGTTCGTTCCTCTACTCAGGTCCAGACTGAAACATCTCAACAACTGTTGGATGGGTTGTGATGAAATGTGGTTCAGACCCCTCAGGATGAACTAACTCTGGTGATCCTCTGACTTTTCATCTATGTCATCTATGACCAAATAACTGCAGAACTAATGACATTCCCATCAGCCTCAGGACCTGCGTCAGGTGAAACTTTCATATGACTCTTAATTGCACTAGCTGTATAGCTGCCAGGTAGCTAACTTAGTTTTTTGTATTCGCAGGAGTTGCTGAGTAAAACAGGCTTAAATAAATGTTTGATCTACATAACTGAAAATTAGCAACACGACCACCAAACACATTCAATTACAAGTCTATCCTGCCTGTGATGAAAGGGTCTCATTTACTCAAGTTCTGCACTTAAGTACAATTTTGAGGTACTTACTTACTAAAAAAATTGTACTTACTCCACCACATTTATCTGAAATCTTTAGATTACTAGTGAAAGATTCAGATTATTAATAGAAAATACAATCAACAAACAAATGATTATGTATCATTATAGCTTAATATAAAACTTTATTGATCACCTGAGGTAAAATCACAAGATACCAGTATATCAAGTAACTGAAATGTGCTCCACCTTTACCAGCTGCAACATTAATGTATAAAAAGTACTTTTAAATTTTGATTTAAATTAATTAATTAATTATATACATATATATTATACAAAAATTAAATCCAGGAATATGATGTTTCTAATGTTTTTGGTGCACATTCCAATGATTATTTTCATGATTAATTCAGCGATTAATTAAATAGTTTCCAAAAGTCCTTAAATATCTTGTTTTGTCCAACCAACAGTCCAAAACCCAAAGTTATTGAGTCTGCTGCCATAAAACTGAGAAATCAGCATATCCTGGGATGAATATATGTCAGTTGTCAATAAGTAATTCATTATCAAAATAGTTGCAGGGAAGGAGAGTTTAGTTAAATTCTGATGTATTATAGCTATTTCAAGAAGTAGATATTGATATAGAATTGTTTCTTAATTTGACAAGTTGTTTGGAGTATAAGTACATACAAAAATATATAATATAAGAAATATATTACATATTAAAAGCTAGAGAGCATGTTGTATTCTGTTCAATTTGTCATAACCCGGCTCAAAGGCCACGACAAATGCAGAGAGGACACGGAGGATTGCAAAAAGTAAACAGATTTATTATAACAACTTAAACAACTAAACTAATAATTAACAACGTAGAGAGTGTTAGTCAGTGGCATCAGTGGTGTAAATGTGGATGAGTGACTAGTGTGAGTTTGGGCGTTGAGGAGTGGTAGCAAAACATGATGTAACAAAACAAAGATGTGCTTGTGCTGCTGCTGCTGCTGCTGGCAGGAGTGGGACCAGATCAGAGAGAGAGCTCTAGAGCAACAGGGCCAGAGTATTTATCCCCCACAGCGTCTGGCCCAGGTGCTCCCAATCTGGCTTACGGACACTGATACCTTCACACAGTTAAACACAGTTAAACATCCAACTAGGCCGTCACAAATTCTTACTCAAGAAACTTCTGAGAAATCTAAGAACCAAAACATTGCTGCTCTTAAATGTGCAGCAACTGCGAATCCTTAGGCAAATACAATAAAATCTGCTTCTTGGTTGTTGTTTTTTTTATTCCATGTATATGAAATAAATACATACATTTCTGTAAAATAGTAACTAATTCTATTTATACATCCAATCATGGAAACTAGGAAATGCGATTTATTAAACAGCAGAATTAATTACAGGATTGTTTTTCAGGTTGACCAGGTTTTTTAGTATTTTAAGTGACATATGGACACTTAGGTTTCAAAAAGGGAGTGAAGTCTCTCAGATTCAAAAGTTTCATTTGATTTTATGTATTACAGAGAGCCCTGTGGCACTTGACATGACAGTGCAGTTCCAGATGTGACCACAGGGAGGTGCTGTTGGCCTTTGTGAGTTCACCACCAGAGTGGGCCTCCAGTTTCTCCCCCTGGTGAGTAGAGTTTTATCTCCCTGCTGTGATCCAGTAATAAAATTAGGAGGTGGAGATATTTCCCTCCACATTCAGTCACGATGACTCACTGCTTTTCCAAAATACCGCCAGGTCACGCATGAATACCCAACTTAAAGATGAGAGTCAAAGTCTGTTAAGTGCCAGAAGCGTCTGATATAGACCAGTGTTTTTTTTTCAGAGGAGCTTTATGAGAGATGAAAGTTACACTGCAGCTAAACCCAAACACTGGTCCAGACCTTCTGTGGAGGGCTGACGTGAACCACAGAGACGCTGTTTTCATGTGGTTTCTCTCTGCGGTTCTGTTAAACTTCCATAACGTAAATGTGTTGGAGCTGCAGGGAGAAAAATCTGGCTTCTAAAGACACAGAAAATGAAACAATTTAGATTTATACAAAATAGTGATCTTATAGATGATTTGATCGTTGGCAGAGAGCACAGACCTGAGGTCAACGTAGTCTGATCGCACACACATAAGTTTGTTCCTCTATCCCAGTGGGGACATCTCATTTCCATAATGCATTCCCTGTCCCCTTACCCTAACTGTAACCATCACAACTACACACATAACCTTGGCCCTAACCTTAATCTAATTCTAACCTGAACCCTACAACCACGTCTTACCCTCAAACAGCATTTTGGTCCCCACAAAACTGCTGGACCCCACACATATAGTTAAACAAGCAGATATAGCTCAAAATAAACTCTTGGTTTATTTAGCTTTAAAGATCCAGTGGACAGCAGGGTAAAACTGTTTAAAGCAGTAAGTTTGACCTGTGCGATCATCATTATAAAATAAATATGAGTCATTATGTTTGATTTCCACGAAGTGAAACGTCTGAGGGGCTCCTGGAGGGGTCACGGAGAAAACAAAACAAATCTGTGCTTTGTTTATTTAGAAATAATTTATCACCTTCACGCCGACAGTCTTGTCTTGCGTGAACCTTTCACCGTCTCACTATGGATCTGTGTTCATTTCATTTTAAACTCCCTGTATCCAGATTGGTTTCATAAAGTCTTGAGAGAAAAAACGTTGAAAGATTGGTGCCACAGAGGAGGCAGATGTCCTGCCACCAGTCTGGGCGGACGAGGAGCCATGAGATGGACTACGCTGACCTCTCTGGGGCAGAACAAGCTCCTGGAAAGGAAAGCTGCTCTGGATGGTGAGCTGACTCTGGAGTCGTCGACGCTCGCTGTCAGCCAGATGGCATCAGGACGGGCACCAGGGGTTTATGGTCTCCCCTCTGACCATTTCTTAGCAGTTCTGAAATACCATAGACCGGATTAACATGGTGTTTGAGAACATGATCTCTTCCTGTCTCCTGTCAACGAGCAGTGCCGACCAAGAAAGGAGACCTGGCTCAACTCAAGAACTGGAGGTCAGCGGTCCCCATCTGTCCACAGCCTTACAGATCAAGGCTGCTTATAATGTAGATTTTATTAGTGTCTCTTTGGACTAGAAATGGGCTTTTGACAGGGTGGATCACACTTACAGGTTTTCTGTACTTAGGGTTTTTGGTATTGGTGCCAGTTTTCTGGTTTACGTTGGTTTAATGTATAGTGGTGCTTAATGTATGGTGAAGATGGGGGCAGGGTTGAGTTGGTTAATACCTGTACAGCGGGGTATAAGACAGATTTGTCCTGTGTCAAGTCAACCTTATAGCTTAGCTATTGAGCCCTTGCTGTGCAGGTTGAGAGGTCTTGACACCTTTTTACAGCTCTTTACAGGCATGGCAGATTTTTAGCTTTGCACGTGCTACAAATAACATTCTGGGCATGTGGTGGTTTTCGAGGAACCTATGTTTTTTAACAACCTCATAAAGACTCAAACACCGCAGTCTGCCAGCTAATCTCAGAGAGAGTGGCTGCAACAAAGCGGGCCATCTGATGAAAATGACGGCAGCATCTGCGGACGCCCTCAGAGAGAACATCACCTCTACCAGGCTGATCAGCAGAGTGGTGGAGGACGTCTGCCACAGTCCCTGAGAGCAATCGCAGAAAACCGTTCTCTGTGTGACCAGTGGAGTGAAGAGTGTGAGTACAGTTTCCTCTCCTTGTGTATCAGCCCAGCTGTGGAGGAGTGGCAGGGAGGAGGCGGTCAGCTGCACCACCTGGACAAGTTTCAGGCTGCAGGGGAAAAAGCAGTCAACCAAATCTGCATTAAGGTTCTGAACCTTTGCTCTTTGGCAGGAATGAAGGAGACGAGGTGGACTGTTGCCTTTAGTCCAGATGCTTCCCTGAAGGCAGCTGGCAGTCATCAAACAGATCCACATTAATGTAAGCTTCTGATCGGAGAAACATGTTTCAGCTACTGGTTGACAGGTTCTGTTGAATATTAGGAATGCTTTTCTATTTTTCCGCCTTAGGTGATGATGATTTGAAACCTCTCCTCTGTCTTCCTCCTGTTGACAGGAATGCGAATGGACGAGTGTGAGGCTGTGATGCTGATGGATGGTGGCAGGTATGTGGCGTCTCTGTCTCTCCACACTGCTGTGATTGCTCACAGTGACTGGTCCTCTGCCACACTGTCGCTGTGAGTGTAGATAGACAGGCTGCAGGAAGCTGTCTGTGGCTGCTTGCAGCAGGCCGTCGGTGTTAAAGGCTTCAGTATCGCTGCAGGGAGCTCAAACTTTACTTGTCCTTTCTGCATCAATCATACATTTCTCTTCAAACCTCTTGAGTGTCTCGGAATGATTCACAAGTTAAAGGT